ATTACTACAGAATCAGGAGTATGTTCACCTTTGTGGGGAGGATTGGAATGGGGCACATGGGGAGGCTTCTAGAGTAGCTGGCAAAATTCTGTTTTCTGATTTCAGTAGTGGTTAGCAGGATGTTTGCTTTATAAAACAAATCACTACACATTTGCTCTTTAAAAAGGCTGTGATAGAACTATTCTCAGGTAGCTATGAGGGGCCAGAAGAGGCACTTCATGTCTGAGGAGAGAGGATGAAGAAAGGACCTCTGAGTAAGGGAGGTCCTTTGGGAGAGTGAGGGTAGGTGGGATGAACATCAGTGATGAAGCTAGAGAAATAGACCAGCTCATGAGCTGTCATCTGTACTAGGTTTTATTCTGGAAGCCATGGGGAGCCATTGAGGAATTCTATGCTGACAAGTGGCATGCCCACGTTTACATTCTAGAAAGCTTCCCTTGATGGCTGTGTGTGAAGTGGATTGGATGGAGGAGGCAGGACTGGTTCCAGGGAGACCAGTTGAGAATCTACCGTGGTAATCCAAACTAAAGATGGTGAGGCCAGAAACAACTCCGTGACAGAGGAGAGAGGAAAGGACTAATTTGAGAGTGCTTAAGGAGGTGGAAACACACAACTTGAGAGAATATCTGGGAGAGAGCGAGAGAGAAATCAAGGTTTCCCTAGTTACTGACTGGGGTGGCAAGGTGGAAGATGTTGGTGCCATTAACTGGGACATGTAGAGCAGGCCTGGAGAGATGATAATGTATACTATTTTGTAAATTGAGATAAAGTTTACAATACAATAAAATGCACAGAACAGAAGCATGTAATTCAGTGAGTTTTTTCAGATGTGTGCACACATGTGACTAACACAGCAGTGAAGATGTAAATGTTTCCTCCACTCCTGAAGTTTCCATGCAACCCCTTCAAGCGCTGTTCTGATTTTTATCACCATAGATTATTTTGTCTGTTTTTGAACTTCACCCATATGGAATCATACAATATGTGGTCTTTTGTGACTAGTTTCTTTTGCCTAACATATTTTTGTGGCTCACCTGTCTATTGTATATATTAGCAGTTCATCCCCTTTTATTGCTGAACAGTATTGCATTGCATGAATACATAATTTGTTTATCTACTCTTCTGGTGATGGACATTTGGGTTGTTTCCAGTTTTCTTGTTTTAAGAATAAGGCTTCTGTAAACATTCTCATATAAATCTTTGTGTAGATGTACATTTTCATTTATCTTGGGTAAATGTCTAGGAGTGGAATTCCTGGGTCATAGTCTAGGTGTGTTTGTTTAATTACAGAAGAAACTACCAGACAGTTTTCTAAGGTGATTGTAGTATTTTATGCTCCTCCTACCAGCAATGTATGAGAGTTCTGGTTGCTTCATGTCTCGATGCTTTGATGGTTTTGTTGTTTTTCATTTCACCATTGTAGTGAGAGTGACACACATCTATCTCATTATGGTTTTAATACAAAGCAAGTAATGAATACTAATGATGTTGAACCTCTCTTGAACTTATTGGCTGTTTGTTTTTCTTTTGTGAGGTGTCTATTCAAACCTTTGCCTATTTTTTGTTGGATTTTTAAAATTTTGTTTGGATTTTATTTTTTTTTATTATGGATGTCTTGATATATTCTGGATATAATAAGCCCTTTGTCCTGTATGTACATTGCAAATATTTACTCCCATTCTTTCACTTGTCTTTTAATTTTCTAAATGATGTCTTTTGATGAGCAGAAATTTTTAATTTTGAGACCAATTATTTTTGTCTTTTATGATTAGTGCCTTTTGTGTTCTCAAAAATCTTTGCCTAACCTGAGGTTGCATATTTTCTTAGATTTTCTCTTTTTATTAAGATTTATTTATTTTAGAGAGAGAGAGTGTGTGTCTCCTCGGGGAGGGGAAGGGGCAGAGGGAAAGGGAGAATCTCAAGCAGACTCCCTGCTGAGCACAGAGCCTGACGTGGGACTTGATCCCACAACCCCCAGATCATGACCCAAGCGGAAACCAAGAGTTGGACGCTTAACCAACTGAGCCACCCAAGCTTTCTCCTAGAAGCTTTATAGATTTGGTTTTTGTATTGAGGTCTAAAATCAATCTTAAATTTTTGTACATGGTATATGTCAGAAGTTCATTTTTTTCATATGAATGTTAAGTTTTTCCAGCACCATTTGGTGAAAAGGTTTTCGTTTATCCATTGAATTGCATTGATATTTTGTCAAATTGGTTTGTTTCGAGACTCTGTTTTCCTTATACCCATACCACACTGTCTTGGGGCTGGCATGTTGAGGGAATCTACATTATGTTTTCTTTTTTTTTTTTTTTTTTAAGTGGTAAGTAGTATTCTAACAGTTAATTTACTGGCAGAACCCTTTGATTCTATCAGGCTTGCTTTTATTCTTATAATTTGAATCTGTTCCTGTGGCATATCCTTTCTGAGTCTCAATGTGAACACTTCCTATTCTGGGCTGGACTACCATTATCTCCCAGCTCTGCGTGATCTCTAGTATCACCATTTACCCCATAACAGGCGGTCTCTGCTAAGTCCAATGAAGGCATGCCCTGTGCATGTGCAGTCCAGCTTTGAGCCGAGAAAGTGCCCACCCACCCCACCCTGCCTCACAGATTCCAGCCACTTAAGCATCACAGAACTCAGATCTGCCTGCTCATCGAGACCACCACTCTGCTTGGGCGCCATCTCCCTACCCCACAATGAGAAGGTACCCCCGGATGAAAGCTAGAGCAGTCACATCCTCCCCTGCTATGTTTCCCTTCTCTCAAAGATTACCGTCCTATACAGTTCAATTCCTGAAAGCATATTTTCAGTCCATCTTTATAGTTTTCCATGGCAGGAGGGAGATTCTAGTTCCAGTTATTTTGTAACGACTTGAAGTGGAAGTTGAGGTTCAGTTTTGGATATAATGCTGAGTTTTTAGTATCTGTGGAACATCCCAAGTAGAAGTGCTCAACAGGCAATTGGGTATCTGTATGGAAGGCCTGAGAGAGACTATTGGAGATTCAGATTTTACAGTTGAAGCCAAGGGAATGGATGTAATCACCTAGCTATACTTACCTTCTTAGAATAGAGGAGTAGAACAGTTTTCTCTTAAAAAGCCTGAAAAGGTATCACTAAAGAAGGAGATGAAGAACAGGAGACATGGATATCACGGAGACCACTGTGAATAAAGCAGTGTTCATGTGGCGGAGTCACCGCTCCCAGGAGCCCAACCTTTGTTCTGTGAAGCTTGCCAGTCCAGAGCCTAACTTTTCTTCAGTGCTGCTAAGGACTTAGTAAAGTCTTACTAGGTGATTGTTGTAGAAAAACCTATATACCCAGGTCCTAATACTAATCTGTAGAGTTAAAGCAAGACCTGTTACGATGAAGCTCAGAATTCTTGTAGTCATAGTCACACATTTGTGCTTCTATAACCTTCCTGGGCCTATATAGCTGACAGGTATGATCATCATGTTCATGAAATGGAGAGGAAAACCAAGGCCTTGAAGAGGTTAACAACTTGATTACAGTCTGTTGTGAAGTCTGCCCTATTTCCAATTTTAGTTTCTAGTTGTCTAGAGACTTTACAGGGTTTCAGACTTGGAAGTTGCTCTGGGTTGTGTAACGCAATCCCCTTGTGTTTTAGGTGGGGAAATGGACACTCATAAATGAGAGGGCTTTAGCTAGGTATAAATAACAGAAATTCAGTTAAGCCAACTTGAGCAAAAAGAATGTATCACAAAAGTACAGAGCTAGCTGATGGAATTCAAAAGGCAAAGATAAAGCTGAGTTTTGATCATAGGCTGGAGCCATGACCTGGAGTGCTATAGAGAAACTGGGATGCCCCTGGTTTCTGCCCTTTTCTCTGTTTCTGTCTCCTGATTCATTCTTCTCTCAATGTAGACTAACTTCTTCTGCCCCACCCCACCCCCACCCCCTTGCAGAGAAAATGGTCACTAGCAACTTTTTCTGAGTTTATATCTTAGGAAAGAAGCCATTCATTCTCTTCCATTCAGGAAAGAATTCAACCGATTCTAGAATTGCAACTCCTATTCACCTGGAGATCTCAGTGGCCCAGTTGGAGCCATCCAGAGTCCAGCTGCCAAGGGTCTGGGGTAGTATCATTCTACAGACATGTCTAGCAGGGAGCCCTGCATCTCTGAGTATGTGGGGTAAATTGTTGGGGGGGGCAGAGATAAAGGGGGCAGATGGCTGGGCAGCCAGTAGGGTAGGTGCTTAGTAGGAGAGTAGGGTTGCATCAGTAACCAGTAGCAGAGCCAGGACCAAAACCCACAGCCTCTGATCCAGCCTCTGTTTCCTGAGGCTGCCTTACATGGGAAAACAGTGGTAATTATTTGGTCTGGTAACAGGAAAGGCAGACAGATGGACACTCACTGCCTCAGTTCTTATTCCTCTTAGTGTGAAGAACTAGAGGTCCCTTCCCTGGGAGTCTAGGGAATCCAGAGCTCTAGGACTATAACAGCCAAAGAGGGGTTCCATTAGTCCAAAATCTTAGTGACTAGTCATAGAAACCCAAGTCAAACCAGCTTAAGCAAAAAAGGGTGTTTATTAGAAGGTCATTAGGTACCTCATGGAACTGAAGAAAGAAGCGAAGATTCCAGGGCAGCTTTCAGGAATCTGGAATCAGTACCACCAGGACTCATACACATGTGATCACTTTTTTTCTTTATCTTTTTCACTTTTCATCTTTCATTTCCTCATTTCTGCTTGGCTCTGGTACCACAAGGTTTTCTCCACAAGTGGGGAACATGGCTGACAGCAGTTCGCAGGTCATATCCGCATGGTGTCTGACGAAGAGAAAAGATAGTCTTCCCTGCTGACTCCAGGCAGAAAAATCCCAGAGAATTCCAGTTGAGGAGATGGAGTCCTATGATTGGCCAGGCCTTGTTCACTTGCACACTCTTGGGGTCAGGAGAAGGCAGGGAATATTTCAAGAAGGGGGAGCTGTAAGCAGGGTCGGCAAAAACTTCTTTTGTTTTGTGTCTGTCTCCCAGGTGACCATGGAGGCTGGTGGCCTCCCCTTGGAGCTTTGGCGCATGATCTTAGCCTACCTGCATCTGCCTGACCTGGGCCGCTGCAGCCTGGTTTGCAGGGCCTGGTATGAACTGATCCTCAGTCTCGACAGCACTCGCTGGCGACAGCTATGTCTGGGATGCACCGAATGCCGCCACCCCAACTGGCCCAACCAGCCTGATGTGGAGCCTGAGTCTTGGAGGGAGGCCTTCAAGCAGCATTACCTTGCCTCCAAGACATGGACCAAGAATGCCCTGGACTTGGAGTCCTCTGTCTGCTTTTCTCTATTTCGCCGGAGGAGGGAACGCCGTACCCTGAGTGTTGGGCCAGGTCATGAGTTTGACAGCCTGGGCAGCGCCTTGGCCATGGCAAGCCTGTATGACCGAATTGTGCTATTTCCAGGTGTGTATGAAGAGCAGGGTGAAATCATCCTGAAGGTGCCTGTGGAGATCGTAGGCCACGGGAAGTTGGGTGAGGTGGCCTTACTCGCCAGCATCGATCAGCACTGCTCCACCACACGCCTGTGCAACCTTGTCTTCATGCCGGCCTGGTTCTCACCCTTCATGTTTAAGGTGGGTGCCCACATTCAGATGGGTGGCCTCTCCGGTCCCACGACTTGGGCCTCTTCTCAGTGGGTTTGCAACCCCTTTTTTGTTGGAATTGAGGGTTTTGTCATTGTTCCTGTAACACACTCCTCTGAGTTCTACAGCAGTTGAGAAATGGGTAAGGGATCAGTAACAATCAACATTCTGCTTTATTCCTGGCAAAACTGTATTAAAAAATAAGCCGGGGACTCAAGACCCAAACTGCTTTGTACTTCTTTCCTTCCACACTGGATGAGCTGGCACCACGAGTGGAATAACTAGGAGGAAAATCCAGGTCCGGGAGTATACCACACAGTGACAGGAAGCAGAAAACACTTCAAGCCCAGAGATGGCCAAAGCCAGGGGAGGCTATGCAGGACCAATGACCTTTAGCATGTTAGCCCCACCCTGTGGAGGAGGGTCAGGGAAGGTCAGGCTTTTACCAAGAGTGACTGGGGAGAGGGCCAGGAAATACCAGCCCAACATTAACCTTCTAGGAGCACAGAGCACAGGCTGTATTCAAAGCAAAGAATGTATTGACATGTTGGTAGCTCCCAGCGGAAGAGTCTACAGCTTTACATTGCCTAGAAACATTATAATATCTGAACTTCAGACCTAGTCAGTAATAATTATATTGCCACTGTGACTACCAATCACAACACGTTGTCTCTCGGGTTTGTAATGATCATCACACGACCAGTCATTTACAGTACACTTACTATGTGGCTGGCGTATGCTTTCCAGCCATTAGTAAGAGGGGCCATGCCATCTGGTTTTATAGATGAGCAAACTGAGGCTCAGCAAGATTAAGTGACATACCCAGGTCTCAGACTTAGTAAGAAACAGAGCGAGGATCCAAAGCCTATATTCATAATCTAGGTGACTATCCATCTGTGACTTCATTTGATCCCCACAACAAATAGTTGTGGTAGACAGTAGACATGGTATCCCCATTTTGCCAATCAGGGGCACTAATGCTCAGTGATGCTAAGTAACTTTCTCAGGTGGTTAATTAGTGAGGTTAGAACTCAAATTCTAAGTACCTTTGAAATTACATTGTGCTGGATTCCTTGGAAACTTAAAAGCCTGCTTTTTAGGCCTAGAATGTTTCAGGAGGACTGATGAACAACTCCTGTGCTGGTCTGCAGACCCAGAAGAAGAGTTTGATTCAAGACCCTTCACGTTTCATATGACATTTACTCTTAGAGTAATACGTTCATTTCGGCCTCTCCTTCTCCCTTGGAAGTGCAGCCTCAGATGCTCAGGGGTTGGGGCCTGGCATATATTAGTGCTCCTGTCCGTGATCGTCTTTTAACTGAAAACAGGACAAGGGGCTAGGATGACCTTGCCTGTGAAATGCAAAGACCAGGGTGATTTCACAGCGGTTTTCAGTGACTTCTGAGGAGAACCCCAGCCATGGCTCTGCATCTCCAGATAGCTGGTGTTCATCTACAGAGAGGACCCAGTAAGAGCAAATAGACTTAAATTGCTGCAAGAAAAAATTAAGTTAGCCATAAGGAAGAGCTTATAGGGGTTAAGGCGAGTAAGTTTTGGGCCAGGCTCTCCAGGGTGCTCACCGCTAGAGAATGTAAAAACTGTTCAGGGCTGGATATGTCTGGATTACTCAGTGGGATCATGAAACCCTCCCTCATTTTCTGGTTCAAATCCATCTGATGGAATTTAGTGTGAAATCCAGAAACAGTTCTTTTTCAGGAATATAGAGTAGCTGTGCTTCTCAGCCAGGCCTGGGAGCTAAGGGGCTCAGGTGAGTGGTACGTGGGATTCAGCACTTCCCCACCCCAGAGGAGTCTCTGCTCCTTGTGTCCCTGGTGATGGTAGCTAATTTTCAGTGGGTGCCAACTTTGTACCAAGGCTCTCTACCTTGTGCTTTGTTAGCTGGCAAGCCCCCTATTGCATACAAAGCCTCAGAGAGATGAAGTCCTATCCAAAATAACACACTTGAAAGAGGCAGAGCTAGGAGTTATTCCTATGCGGTCAGACTCTAGAGCCCATCTTAACTCCTGCTCAGTACTGCCGGGCCATGACAGCTTACCTCCTTGTCCCCCTCTTTAGGGACACAGCCTGCTGTCCTTTGCTGTGCCCCTCCCCCCACACACACACATGTACCGGTTGCCACACAGGCTGGACTCTTTCCCAGAACTGTGGCTGGGCCTCTGCAACTGCCTGCCCAGCCCAGCCCAGGCAGGGTTCAGCTCCTCCTGGCCTGTCTTCTGTCAGCTCTCAGGCTTCTGCCTGGCTCTGTCCTGAGTTCAGATGCCAAGCTGGTGTTCTGTGGGGTGCTGCAGGGCTGAGAGAGGATGGTGAAGGGAAGATGTGCTCAAGGGGTGAGACCTAGTGAGACACCTCACGATCTCACACTTTCTTCATGTAACCAAGACACCGAGCTGGGACTCCCTCGCCCTTCAGGGGTCACAATAAAGTTGTGTTCAAATCCCAGCCAATTCTTGGTTTATGAAAGTCCACAGCTCTCCCTGTCATTCCTGATCATCCCTAGAGTGATGCTTGCCCTGCTGGTTCACCTCCTGTGTTACCATGTTGATTCCATCTCACCCAGCATCCCTCTGAGCTTCAGCTTCTTCCCTCTTCCCCATCTTCACCCCTCAAGAGTTTATATTCTCACTAGACACTAATTGAGTACTGGGAGAATTTACTTGAGATTTGCAGTCTTTAGGAAGGGCCCTGTTGCAGAGTGTGAACTTTTCTGCCTTGATCCATTTCCAGTCCCTTTGGGATTGGAAGGAGGGAAAGGCAGCAACTCCAAATTATCCTTCCTCTGATGCAGAGCAGCTCCCTGTCCCTGTCCCCCTGTGTGGGGGCTGACACATGCCCTTGGGGAGGAGGAGAACAGGATCAGCAGGACAAATGGCCTCTCCAGGCTCCACCCTCCTTAAAGAGCAGTTAGAGTACTGACTAGCAAAACAATTCTTATCCCTGTTTTATCCATTTTCTCTTTTCTATTCCTCAGACAACATCGGGTCATGTTCAGTTTGACAACTGCAACTTTGAGAATGGGCACATCCAGGTCCATGGCCCAGGCACCTGCCAAGTGAAGTTTTGTACCTTCAAAAACACCCATGTTTTCCTGCACAATGTGCCCTTGTGTGTCCTGGAAAACTGTGAATTTGTGGGCAGTGAAAACAACTCTGTGACTGTTGAGGGCCACCCATCTGCAGACAAGAACTGGGCCTACAAGTATCTACTAGGGCTTATCAAGTCTTCACCCAGCATACTCCCCACAGAGGACTCTGACTCTTTAATGTCCCTAGACCTGGAGAGCAGGGACCAGGCTTGGAGCCCAAGGACCTGTGACATTGTCATTGAGGGCAGCCAAAGCCCTACCAGCCCATCTTCTACCTCCCCAAAGCCGGGCTCCAAGACTGGCTCACAGGAGGCAGAGGTGGGCAGTGATGGGGAAAGGGTGGCCCAGACTCCAGACAGCAGCGACGGAGGCCTGAGTCCTAGTGGTGAGGAGGAGGAGGACCAGCTCACATACAGACTGTCCTACCAAGTGCAGGGCCCACGCCCTGTGCTGGGGGGCTCCTTTCTCGGCCCACCACTTCCAGGAGCATCCATTCAGCTGCCCAGTTGCCTAGTGCTGAACTCACTGCAGCAGGAGCTGCAGAAGGACAAGGAGGCCATGGCACTGGCCAGCTCTGTGCAGGGCTGCCTCATCCGCAAGTGCCTCTTCCGGGACGGGAAGGGAGGTGTCTTCGTTTGCTCCTATGGCCGAGCCAAGATGGAAGGAAACATCTTCCGGAACCTGACTTATGCAGTGCGGTGTATACATAATAGCAAGGTACTGTTGTAAGGTTTACTCTACAGACCCGTGAGGCCTTACTGGGTCACTAGGAACATGATTTTGATTAATGAGAGAAGGTTCCTGTGCCTATACACAAGAAGGCTTTGGTGAGGCTGTTCTGGTTTTTTTAAAATCATCTTTTTTTCAGCTTATAACACACCCTTGCCTTATGTCCGTCATCTGATTTGGACAGAGCAGAAACTGTTCTTCCCATTTTACAGAAGAGGAAACAGGCCCAGAGAGGAAATGTGACTCACTCAGGGTCACACAGCAAGTTAGTGGCAGAACTGGGACTAGAACCCAGGTCTTCTAACTCCTTTCACTATGTCATGCTGCTTCTCAAATATGTCCCCAAGTCCTAGTAGAAGGAACAAGGGCTCTTTAGCCTGGATGAGAGAAAATTGAGGGACACATGATCACTGGCTTTGATCCAAACTGGAGAAGGCTTCCCAGAAGAGGTGTCTAAAGCTGTGTAGGATGAGTAGAGGACAGCCAAGGAGAGTGGTGTGCGTGTGGTTGAAAGGGTGCAGAGTGAGGGCATTCCAGGCAGCCGGAACATTCTATGCTGGGGCCTGGGTGTGAGGCTGATTGTAACAGTGTGCTGAGGATGGAGGAGTGGTTGAAAATGAGGCAGGGGAGGTGAGCAGACGCCACCTCACCCCGGGCCTGGAAAGCCCCTTTGAGAGACACTGGGACTTTATGCTAAGAGCAGTGCGTCCTGCCACTGATGCCATCAGGACCCTGCAGCCTCTTCGGGCGCCACAGGACAGTCCACAGATCCTCCAAACCGCTGAGCACACAAAAGGCTTCTGAAAGGAAAGACACAGCCTTTTGGAAGAAAGCATGGCCTAGCTCCTGGGTTTGAGTCTTACCTCTCCACTGACTCACCACGAGCGTTACTGTCCTCTTCTATAAAATGGAAATAAGCATCCCTGCCTTGCCTCTCTCACTGGGTTTTGTAAGGATCCGATGCCATAAAATTGGCAGAGCACCTAGTAAGCTGCAGGGCATCGTACACATGTCACGTGTGAGACTCACAGATCTCTGCAGGCTGCTAGAATGGTTAACAGCAATCACATTTGGATTGCATTTTGTCCAGCCCACTTCCAAAGAGGATTTTAAAGGGTGGTGTTACCCTGAAAGAACATCGGACTACTATATAGAGAATAAAAGATGATGGTCAGATCAAAAGGATGGGTAATAGTTTTGCTCTCAGGTACCATGATGAAAGAATCTGGTCTGAGCCCCCAGGAGGGTCTTCCCTCTTGCATAGTTATTACGAGTGTGGCTTCTGAGTTGAATTCTGCCTCTGCCCCCTAATAGCTATGTGTCCTTTGGACTAACAATACTATCTGCCTCCCAGGTATGGTAAAGATTAACTCAGGTTATATATGTGAAGTTCTTAGCAATATGTCTGGCACAGAACAAGTGCTCAACAGATTTTTGTTGTTGTTTATTTTTTAGAAGTGCTATTACAGTCCAGTGTGGGAGGTGCTGTGACAGAGGTGCTGTGGGTGGCATAGGCGCCCAGCCTCAGGGAGAGGGTCCCTGGAGGAGCAGTGCCTGGGCTGAGCTGTGTAGGAGCCGGCAACGGGAAGCTGTGAGACGCGGAGGTGTGCTTGAAGGCCAGATGTGAGAAAGGACGCCATACGTTTAGGGAGTCACCAGTGACTCAAGCAGCCAGAGCATGAGCTGATGGCTGCGACAGGGGACCAGGGAGTCCGCAGGAGTCAGCTAGCTGAGGCACGGAGAGCTTGCCACAGAGATTGGAGTTTGCTGTGAAGGCAAGGGAAACTCACGGACAGATTTTAAGCAGAGGAGAACTGTGGTCAGATCTGTATTTGGAAAGCTTTCTGGGGAATGGAATGGAGGGGAGCAAGGCTGCAGGCAAGACCAGTGAGGGGCAGTGGAAAACTGTGGTCCAGAGATGGAGGGGAAGGGACAGGGCATTCTGGAAAGGTAGAAGGGAGGGCTTTAGGAGGGAGCAGTCAAAGGCATGAGGCCGAGGCTTCTGGCCTGAGTGGCAGAGGCAGCAGGAACAGGGGAGGTTAGAGTGTGGAGACAGATGCTGAGTTTGGGGCATTTCCGACATCTAGCAGAGATGCCGTCTGGTTACCTGGGTCTGGAGCTTTGGGGAGAAATGTGCCCTGCCAGGCAGACTTGGAAGCAGGTGGTAGCTGGGAGTCATCAAAAAGGAGAAGTGAAAAGTTATACAACCTTACTTGTAGCTCTTTTAAACAATTGCCTCCAGGGGCTTCTGGCAGGAATTATGCAGCCTATAAATTACTAGTAAGTCTCTAGCAAGGAACCTAAGAAACTGATATTCAGGATTTTTGACTTAAAAAAAAAAATCCATGAATCTCCTGAGTATCCAGCATCAGGTACAACTATATGCTGAGTGGCATTCATACAAGCAGGGAGCTGTGGGCGGGGGTGCTGGGCCTGCTGAGCCGGTCCCATGCTTGGGAGCAAAGCCTTGATCCGGTGGCCTGAGGGCAGCCACCCCTCCCTGTCCTCTAGAACATCCCCAGGGGAGTAAGGCTGACAGAAAGAGCCCAGTTGCTTCGGGCTCCACAAAGAAGACTGGTGTTTATCTTGCTGTTTTGTGTATCTTGTATAGAGACTGAGGTCAATTGCATTTATGTGTGGAGATGGGCATACCTCTTCTTTTGCCAGACCTTTAGAGGACCAGGTTTTGGGTCAGCCTAGTAAGGACTGAGCTGGTTTGGGTTTTGTTATTATCCTCCGCCTACCATAGGCTTCATGTTCTTTACCTTCTGCTGGTTTGCCAGTAGGCTTTGCTCTGCTCCCTGCCCTCCCAGCAGTAGACCGCTTTCACTTGTGGCTCTGGCTGGTGGTAGGGTTTCTCGTGTACGTTTGTCCTTAGTCTTAGGTAGGTGCTGTGTCTGTGGGCTTGGAAGTAGGTCCTGCCTCACCCCCAGCATGAGGGGGACTCTAATGATCAGAGCCCTAGGTGGGGTTTTTTCTTTCCCTTCCTTGAGAGTGACAGGGCTTGCTGCCCTTCCCCCAGCTGCTTCAGGCTTGTTCGGCAGGAAAGTTGGGGAGAAAACTCCAAGAGGGGCTTAGTGCTTTTCCCACAGTGGCCGTACTGTCTTTCCCCCATGCCTGTGCCATGAGGGAGGCTGTCCCCAGTCTCTTGTCCGGTCCCCAGTCTTTCCCCATGAACACCTAGCGAGGCGCATGGAAAAGTGAACAGACACACCTACTCCCAGAGTTTCCGCACCCTCAGGCTAGTTCACACTTGGCCTTCAACAGTTCGCTAAGACTTGTAGCTGGATTCTTACCGGTTCGTGGGGCACCTGCATCTGCGCAGGCAAGCACGGGCTCACATCTCATCTCCTGGGAGGTGCCAGTTGTCCTTGGATTCCAGGCTCCTTGGTTGTCCCGCCACGTCAGTTCTCTGATGGGTTCAAGAAAGTGTGTGGTGTTGTATATTACCTGGTTCTGTTCTCGTAGGTGTGGGAGCAATGGATGCTCTTACCAACTTCCTCCTAAACAGAAGGCTTCTCCTTGAAGCTGTACTTCTACTTTACCACTCCCAGACTTATTTTAGTGTAATATATCATTTATCCTAATGTATTTTACTATTAATATACAGTTGCTTAAAATAATACAAATATATTCTGAATTTTTAATATGCTTATTAAATAGGGAAAGAAAATGTGAGTGGCAATACATCCCCTTAAATAAGCTGTGTGCTGGGTTGTGGTACCTTGTTTAAAGGAGGCTTCCTGGGCGCCTGGGTGGCTCAGATGGTTAAGCGTCTGCCTTCGGCTCAGGTCATGATCCCAGGGTCCTGGGATCGAGTCCCGCATCGGGCTCCCTGCTCCTTGGGAGCCTGCTTCTCCCTCTGCCTCTCTCTCTCTCTTTCTCTCTCTGTCTCTCATGAATAAATAAATAAAATCTTTAAAAAAAATAAAGGAGGCTTCCTTGTACCAATACTTCTAATTGTCCCGTAGTTTGGAGTACCAGGGGTTTTTCCACCCCTGGACCATACACCCAAGAAAGATTCAGAATGGACAAGAATAGGACTTTGTCTTACAAAGTAAAAGAGAAGGTAGGAGGTTATTCTTAGGTGCTTTCTCAGGCAGGTGAATTTTAGCAAAGGCACATGTGGGAACTTGATTCCATTCATTGTAGCTGTGCCCTTGGAACCTGGGGAGATCTTCATGTGACCCCAGTCCACATAGAATTTGAAGACCACCAAATCCCATCTTCTCTGAGGGTCCCTTCCATCCCGTCATCCAGTTATTCCACTCGCAAGTTGTGACTACGGGGCACGGGACCAAGCTTCAGTCCGGGTTTTATTTAAAAAAAAAAACAAAAAACCACTGTGGTTGGTAAGGAGCCTGTGGGGCAAAGCCAAGCAGGGCACAGAGCTTGCTCCGCTGCTGGGAGTACACAAGGTGGGAAGAGGCGGGCCTTGCCTGTGGGCGGAATAGCATGGAGGGAGCAGATGGTAAGAAAAGGACTCAAGTGTTCCCCAAGCGGTTTTATAAAAAACCTGTGATAAGAAAACAAATGGCTTTCTCTTTTCTGCCTAGATTGTCATGCTCAGGAATGACATTCACCGCTGCAGAGCGTCAGGCATCTTTCTTCGCTTGGAGGGCGGAGGCTTGATCGCTGGCAACAACATTTACCACAATGCGGAGGCCGGCGTAGACATCCGGAAAAAGTCCAACCCACTCATTCTGGTACTTCTGTCTTCATGCTCTTTTAGGTGGCTCTTGGTTCTCAAGCCTTTTCTGAGACTATTTAAGTAAATGTTGCCATCTTGAGTTTATTTTTTAAAAAAAGACTTTATTTGAGAGCGAGCACAAGAGGGGGGAGGGTCAGAGAGAGACGCAGACTCCCCACTGAGCAGGGAGCCGGATGCGGGGCTCGAGATGGGGACTCTGGGATCATGACCTGAGCCGAAGGCAGACACTTAACCGACTGAGCCACCCAGACGCCACGCTATCTTGAATTTATATTGCTTCCTGCCTGCAAGTGGTTCCTTCACTTTTCTCTGTGTGTCCTTATGACTCTGCCTCCCTCTTTCTTCATGTATTGGGAGTGGCTTTGAATAGATCACCTCCCTCCAATCTCCTTGTCAGTAAGACATAGGACTGGATAGACAGGGAAATTTCACAGAGCACTTCCTCAGCCTTGATAGGCTCTGGTTCGTTTTGAGTTTGATAAAAATAAAGCTGTATCTGCCCTACAAGACACCTGGATCAAAAATAAAGCACCAAGTTAGATCATTCTTCACAATAAAAAGGACATTTAAGATATTTAGTTCTGAAGATTGTTTCATGGATATTGTGAAGTCACATGAGTTTGATTTTACACCAATGAGAAAGCCACTTAAGATGATAGAATATGGGACCAGTGATATGAGAGAACAGCCCCTTTTTCTACTCTGGGCTTCCCCGAGAGACACATTTCCTAGGAAGTAGGAGATGTGTCAGACTTCTTATGGACTTTAAAAAGTAATATCCACCCTTATACATAGTGCTTATTGTATGCCACATACTGTTCTGAGCACTTTGTATATATTATTTATGGTTTAATCTTTTCACAGCCCTGTGTGGTAGAATTATTGTTTCCCCATTTTACAGATGAGGATACTGAGGCACAAAGAGACTAAGGATGTTGCCCCAAATCATACAACTCATGACAGAGCTGACAGGCAGTCTGACTCAGGGTTGTTGTTCTTGACCCATTATAGTAGACTGCCCTCACAAAATGCAGATGAAGGGGAGTCCCTAACTGTTTAAAAAGACATGCCTGGCCAGTGTCCTCTCTCAACCCCTCCCCTCACTGCGTCTCTGCCATGCAGCTGGCATCTGACGCACAGCCTTGGCTGAGGAAGTTATCGCCACTGTTGCCAGAGAGATGAGTTTGCCTTCCCGGGGCAGAGGGGACAGGCCAGTTTGGCAGGGGGGCGGGGAGGGGGCGTCATGTTTCTGCCCTGGCTTCATGAAAGGGTGTGGGGAATGGAAATGCCACTGCTTACGCTTCTCTCGCTGAGCTTTTCAACCTGTGAGCGATTTCTGTTAGGCAGTGGTTTCCCGGGTGAGTCTGCCAAATCCTTCAGGAGAAAATCTGGAAAGTGAGTAAGAATAGGAGAGCTTACAGTGTGGCACATTTTCAAGCAAGCTAGAACTTTGTTTTTGTGAATTCGTTTTGGAAGAGAAACCGCTAACTTCCTGGTTTAAGTACAGGAATGTATTTAGGCTGTAAATTAAACAGAGTGAAAGAATTTTATTATCACTTATTATGATCTAAAAATGTTGTCACTGTGCAAAAGCAGGTAACTGGGAAACTAAGCTTCAGATCGGGCTCTGCCCCACACTGTGTGACCCTGGGCCTGCTTCCCCATTCGTACAAAGAGATGCTCGAAATAAATCTAAGGGTCTTTGTAGTGCTCACACCTTCTGTGCTCTCGTGCCGCATGGAACAACCAGGCTCCCCAGAGCCGCACCTTTCCACAGGCCCTCCCTGCATGGGAAGTGAGGAATAGGAGCCAGATGGCTCTCCCCCTTCCTTGAAGGTGGCCCGCTTGGGACTACACGTGGCCAACATTGTCATATAGTGGGGGCTGCCCTTCCCGGAGAGGTGCGCTCCCTGGCCCCGGGGTCGTGTGGCCTGGCCAGATGAATGGGGGGTGGGGGGAGCTCGGAGGCTCAGCACTTTTCAGTGGCCCACTTTGCAGGTGGAGAGCAAGAGGCTGGGTGGCAAAGGCTCCTCTCTCTGGATTCTCCCTTACAGCTCTGCGTGTGTGTGGTGGGGCAGCAGCGTGGTCCATTCATTTTGTCATACGCTAGCTGAAGGTCTTCAGTGGCCCTGCTGTGGGGCGGCAGCTGAGCACTCTGCTTCTTGCTGGCTGGTCTGATCTGTCTTCTATGCTGTCTCATGTTCCCTTGCAGTGTAACCAGATCCACCATGGCCTTCGTTCTGGCATTGTCGTCCTTGGCAATGGGAAAGGCATCATCCGGAACAATCAAATCTTTTCAAATAAGGAGGCTGGCATTTATATCCTGTACCATGGAAATCCAGTCGTGAGGTACGTATGGTGTACTCGGACCGTCCTCACCCGTGGTCCCTTCGGACCTCTCTGGTCTCTCTCTTCCCTACTCCCTGGCTTTCCTCCATGTGAAAACATTTTTGTTTACTAACACAACTGTATAGCAAAACAAGCAAAGACCAGACTCCACCCTGATCCCACTGTAGTAACACAAGCGCTTTTGTTTGCAGTCCCTTCCAGTTCACGGTGTAGCCATTCTTCTCAGCAGACATTAGTGAGCACCTCTGATAATGGTGGTAAAGAGGGGCTCCCCCGCCCCGGAGCTTACTCTAGCATGGAGGACACGTGTGACCAGAAATAACTCTAAGATAGAGATGGCATAAAGGTTTCAACTCACCTGACAGGTCTGTTCGGTTGAAAGTGGCTATCTAGGATGCTCTTTTAAGATCTGGCTTCAGGGGGCACCTGGGTGGCTCAGTTGCTTAAGCTGCTGCCTTCAGCGTGGGTCATGATCCCAGGGTCCTGGGATCGAGCCCCGCATTGGGCTCCCTGCTTGGTGGGAGGCCTGCTCCCTCTCCATCTCTCACTCCCCCTGCTTGTGTTCCCTCTCTCGCTGTGCCTGTCTCTGTCAAATAAATAAAATCTTTAAAAAAAAAGAGAGATCTGGCCTCAGCACAAAAGCATGCTGTGACCGATCAGCGGGGCAAGCTGTAGATTCGGGGGGTAGGGGCACTGTGGGCACCGGGAGCTGTCATCCCAGCTCTCATACGTGGTAGATTGACAGATGCTATCATGGGAATCATTCTATTAAGGGGATGTGGGAAGACCTCATTTCCAAGGGGGCATGAGAGTTGGACTCTGAAATATGGGTAGGAAGTGGGCCGTCAGAGATGGGGAATGGACATTCCTACTAAAGGAAACCACATGAGCACAGGCAGCAGAGCACCTAATTCAGGGCTTAGCTAACAAACAGTCCGCTGTGGCTTGAGAACACATCTGATGTGAGTTGTTAGGTCTTGCTTTAGGAAAATAACTGGCAGGGATGTGCAGCAAATATATTCTGAAGTGTTTTTTCCCCTTGATTATTCCATATGCACTCTTCCATGTTGTTTCATGGCCTTTATCAGTTTTGGAAAGCTTCAGAACATTCTGTTGTTTTGATATTCCATTATTTTTTGAACCAGTCCTGTTACTGTTAGGCATCTGTTTTTCACTATTGTTACAGGCAGCTTACTGAAAACAGTTAGTGGTCCCAGAGCTCTTTTTCCATCTTTTGCATTATTGAAGAGTATGTGTTTGTATGTGTGTTTTTCCTTTAACACACATTTGAGTGTTTACTCTCTATGTAAGGGGACAGTGATATAAAAAGTGTGTAAGAACAGTCTTTGCTCCATAGAATTTACAGTCTCATGCTGGAGACAGACACACAAATAACCCTGAGGGAAGACTCACCAAAACGAGTGCTTCTCAATAGGCCTTCGTGTAAGTGTCAAAGGAGCCAGCCACGATTCCAGCTGAGCGAGTCAGGGAAGGGCATGAGGGGAGCTGACATGGAGTTGTGCTTAAAGGGTAAGTAGGATTTTGTGGCCAGGGAGATGGTATTCTGAAATTCAGGATGTGTCCTGGAAAGATGGTAACAAATGTGTCTGTCACGAGATGCCCAGGGGGTTGAGTAAATCGGCCTACAAAGCAGGTTGTGTGCGGCTGGAACACAGAACCTCAGATATCGAATAGGATATGTAGAATAATGGCTCTCCAAATACATCCATTTCCTAATCCTTGGAGCCTGTGAACATGTGCTCTTACATGATAAAAGAGACATTGCAGATGTGTTCGTCAAGAACCTTGAAATGAGGGCGCCTGGGTGGCTCAGTTGATTAAGCGACTGCCTTCAGCTCAGGTCATGATCCTGGAGTCCCGGGATCGAGTCCCGCATCGGGCTCCCTGCTCAGTGGGGAGTCTGCTTCTCCCTCTGACCCTCCCCCCTCTCATGTGCGCTCTCTCTCTCTCATTCTCTCTCAAATAAATAAATAAAATCTAAAAAAAAAAAAGAACCTTGAAATGGGGAGATTATTGTGGATTATCCAGGTGGGCCCAGTGTAATCCTAAGGATCCTTAGAGGGAAGCCGGAGAATGAGTTGGGGAGGAGGAAATGTGACAACAGAAGCAGAGATCAGAGTGATGAGGCCAGAGGCCAGGAAATCTGGATGTCCTCTAGAAGCTGGGAAAGACAAGAAATGGATTCCCCCAGACCTTCCAGAAGGAACACACATCTGCTGACACCTTGATTTAGCCCTGTAGGACCCATTTTGGACTTCTGACCTCCTAAACAAGAAGGTAATAAATTTGTGTTGCTTTAAGGCAGTACGTTTGTGGTAATTTGTTGTAGCAGCCATACATCAATCTGGGAAGTTGGACTTGACCTTGTGGGTACTGGTAATAGTTGAGTTTTGAGCAAGGACAGTTACAGTCAGATTGGTGTCTTGGTTTTTAAAACAATTCTCTTTGAGGGGCGCCTGGCTGGCTCAGTTGGTGGAGTGTGTGACTCTTGATCTCAGGGCTGTGAGTTCCAGACCCACACTGGGTGTAGAGATTACTTAAAAGCTTTTTAAAAAAACAACAACAGAATCTCTTTGAGAGAATACATTGTGCTTTTTTCCTTTATGTTTCTTTGTGATGGAAGATAGGGATCTGGGGGAAGGTACAGAATCAATTTTGAGATCCCTGAAGTGGCTAGATAAGGCAAACCACCGCAGTTTTCTTTGCCAATGAGAGTTTTATAACCTTTTGTGGTTTTCTTTTTGCTTTGGCTGTAAGGAAGCACAGGGCTCAGAAGGGCTCATCCGAAGTAAACATCCCACCCTTGGTTTTTGAAACAATCATCCGTCCCCTTTTCCTAAATGTTTTCTGATACCTCTTTTATCTTTATTTTGCCCTTCCTGTGTACAAACACATACATGTTTCTCCAAGTGGCCATGGGTTCTTTCTGGAGGTAAGTGAGATTTATATTGAAAACACACCAGCTGTACATTTGCTACTATGGCACAGCTTGCAGAAATATGGACGAGGCGTGCCCTAGCCCAGGGACTGTCTCTGACCATGAATTCTAGAAACCCACAGTAACCATCTGCTGATTGAACTGTAACCAGATCAAAGCACCCTCTTCAAATCTAAGGACAAAAATAGGGATGTTTTTAACAAAGGATTTCACTTGTTCAACCCAAACGCATGGTGTAGGTGCAGTTGACATTTCGTTTCCCCAGCATCAACATAATTTGCTGGGGTTTTTCCTCCAAGGACATAAACCATTTGGACCCTGCCCTAAGAAATAGAAAATTTAGCCAAATCCTACTCAATGAAGTTCTATGGGGTGCCAGGCCCTGTGTTAGGCTCTAAAGAGCCAGATGAATATTTGGACCTAAATCCCTCAGCCACATGATGGGAATTAGGAGGGTGGCCTCCTAAGACAGGAGGCAGGTGCCCTTCCAGGAAGAAAGGAGGTCACAGCATTCCTGTTAGTAAAAATAACAGCACATGTGTCCTCCAGGGATAACCCAATTGTGCTAATGTCCAGGTGTGACTGGCCTTGTTTTAACAGGCAGGAAACCAAGTTGCAGAGACTGGAAAGCAATGCATGTCCTTCAGCATGCTCAGGTTTTTCATTCGCAAGGCCTTTCCATGGCAGTGACAGTTGTGTGTGTTTCTCTGAGTAGGAATGTATTTTCCTGTATCTTCCTTATGTGGCTAACCCAGCCCGTGAGGTTTTATGTTGGTTACACATTGATATTCTTTTTTTTTCCCCCACGTTGTCCAGTATTCTTAAACCCTCCCCCTTTTTTTTTAAAGATTTTATTTATTTATTAGAGAAACAGCATGAGAGGGGAGAAGGTCAGAGGGAGAAGCAGGCTCCCCGCTGAGCCGGGAGCCCGATGTGGGACTCGATCCCAGGACTCCGGGATCATGACCTGAGCCGAAGGCAGTCGCTCAACCAACTGAGCCACCCAGGCGCCCATTAAAACCCCCTTTTTAAAAATCTGCTTTCCTTCTTTTAAGGCATGTCATTATTTTATGTTGTCATTCAGTGGATAGGTGATTAAGTTAACAGAAAAGGTAGAGTAGCTGTTGGATACAAACAGAAGATAGCAGGCTCATTATAGGCAGAGAATCTGATTCGGGCTTTGGACACAAATCATGCCCAAATAAGCTTACCACAGTCTCCTAGGAATTCTTGGCACTACCAAGACTTGTCACCTGTGCACCACGATGACCTCAAATGGTGTTTGTATGTGAGCGATAGTCAGGAGAGGCGACAGAAACATGAATATCATTGTGGTTGTATAGCATAGTTGTAGGTTTAGTTCTGGATCGAGTTGTCTCTGGGATAACTGACAATTTTTAAATGCCTGGCTTCTAGGACTTCAGAAAATGCTTTATGCCTCTGTGGACTTGAGTCATCTGGGGAAGATTACAAAAGAAAATAGTCACCTTGCGCAGGCATTGGATTTCACACATCAGTCTGGTCTCACTCTCTTCTTCTCCTTCCATTTTAGCGGGAACCACATTTTCAAGGGCCGTGCAGCTGGCATAGCAGTGAATGAGAACGGCAAAGGCCTCATCACAGGTAGGAGTGGGAACCGCCTAGAGCCGTGGCCAACTGAGCAACCAGCAGCCAAGCCAACATTCCTGGCCTTGCCCCCAGCCAGTCCTTCACCTTGACAGACTGGCCTCCTCCTCTGAATAGTAGGCTAACACTCTGGGACTCCAGCCCTGTGCACTGGCACTGCTTGTCACAAGGAGGGCCTGAGAAGGAGGGAGTGTCTGTCTGCTCTTTGTCAGGCCTACTGCTTACAGGAGCTCCCTGGACAGCTCACATAACACTGTCAGAAACATTTATGGCACACAGACTGAATCCCTCCTGTTCTGTATGGGCTTGCACCTGCTCTGGAAATCTATCCCCATTTCCCCGCTGCCTGGCCAACTCCTGCCCATCCTTCAGGCCTCAGCCTCAATGTCCCTTCCCTTCAGGGAAGCCTGCCCTGACCTCCCATTGTGCACACAGACACTCAGTGTACCCAGCAGGCATGCTCTGTAGGACATCTTATTTTCTTAGTGATCTGTGTAAGGGCAGTCTTCTCTGCTGTAAGGCAGCAAATTCTCTAAGACCAGAATCAAGTCTACGTGGTATGTGAGTGTGGCCTCAGCACAGAGCATAGCCACGCCTGGGACATAAGAGATTGGCCCGGTGAATCCCTGTGACTGAACCAGGTGTCCTTCGTTCATCAGACATTTATGGAGCACACACTGTGCAGGAGCTGGGGGTACGGCAGTGAAAAACAGATCTGTGAAACAGCTGCCCTTGGGTTCCTGCTGTCGGGAACGGACATTTTAGGAAGAGAAAAATAAATAAAAGCACACACACACAAAAGAAATGTATCTGGGTGATATGTGCTCTAGAGATTAAATAATTATGTATTAACTTTACATAAATATCTATGTACTTGATATATATAAATATATAATATGTAAACTATACATAATATAATTATATTAAAATAAGGTTATAGAGGGACTGTGTGGGTATTTAAGATTGTGTGGTCAGGGCAGGCCTTTCTGAGAAGGTGACATGTAAGCCAGACCTGAGTGACAGGAGAAAGCCTCGGAAAAGAACCAGAATTCCCTGCAGGGCTGCGTGTGGAACACCGTCGGCATGCCTGGGGAGCAGGGAGATCGCTCGCGTGACTGGGTATGGTGAAGGGGGGCAAGGGGTGGGATGCGGTCACAGGGCAGGAAGGGACCAGTCACACAGAGTCCCCTGGGCCACTGCACTCCAGTCCCAACAGCCTGAGAGTCTGCCTGGGCATGGTGTCGGGGGCATCAAGGTCCCAGCACAAACTTGCCCCCTGACTTAGGACTCTTCGTCCCATTCCCAGAGAGGGAGGGATGGGGAGAGGAAGGCTGTGGTCAGTCCAGAGCTGAGGCTGACAGGGACCAGCTCGTGCCTCCCCAGGTGGGTGGGGGAAATGGCTGGATTCTGCCTCAGCCCTCCCAGAAACAGCCCCCAGGACAGGCAACCCTGCCTGGCCTTGGTCCAGGGACTCTAAAGCAGTTCATTCTTAGTCGTTGGTCCTGAAGGCCACTGGATACAATGGATCCTAGTGATATAAGAGAACACAAGATAGATACAAACCTTGCCCTTGAGGAGAGCCAACAGCACTCAGGTCCCTGAAAAGTCAAACACCAGGCAAGATTTGGGATGCTGACTGCTGACCAGGTGCAGCCTGGGTGTCCTGGTCCAGAGGGTCCTTTCTCTCAGGTGTCCCCGTCCTCATGGCCAGTCTGGGTGGCCATTGGGTCTTGACCCTCTCTTCTGCCTCTCCATAGAAAACGTCATCCGTGAAAATCAGTGGGGAGGTGTAGACATCCGCCGTGGAGGCGTCCCGGTCCTCAGGAGCAACCTTATCTGCTTTGGCTACTCAGATGGTGTGGTCGTGGGGGATGAAGGCAAAGGACTGATAGAAGGAAACACCATCTATGGTGAGGCGCATGTTCCTGGGGGAAGGGGTCTGGGGTCTAGCCCCACCAGGGAGGCAGGAAGCCCAGGTTCCATCTCTAGCTGGTGGGTCCCGAGAAAGTCACTGCCTGTCCCTGGGCCTCAAAGACGCCCTGAAGAACAGCATCAGTCTCAGGCCACAGACACACGGCCCCTCTCTGAATACAGAATCATCTCCTAAGTCCCCTTGTAACCCACGGGGTCAGCAAAGCAGAGAGCTTCATCCCCATTTAAAATAGCAGAAGGCGGGAGTTGTGTAAGGACAGGGCCATTCAGGCTCTGACACGTGGGCATCTAACTCTTACCCTTTCTTCTGATCCAAAAGAACTAGAAATCTAATGGGAGAACTAGGGTAGCCCTAGAAAGAAAACTGTTCTCACTCATGCTGTGACTTTGAGCAAAGCCTTACTCTCTGGACTGCGTCTCTAATAATAATAATAGCAGCTACCGTGTGTTCTTTGTAGGTGCTTTATATGCTTTATCACATCCTCATGACTGCCTTCTGAGGTAGATACGGTTATTGACCCCATTTTAAAGATGGGGTCAATAACCGTATCTGAGACACAGAGAAGTTCAGTAACCCACTCAAGGTCACACAGCTAGGAAGTGGTAGGGCTGGGACTCAGACGGAGGCCACTTCCATCTCTGCAGGACGGGGTTGGGCTGGATGAACTCTGAGGATCCCTTAGCGCTGTCCCTCTGGGCTTGTGTGCTTCCGACCTGGAATTGTGACCTTCACAGTTCTCAGAGCACTTTTACACCCTATGGAATGATCCTGGTTGTGAGACTGACCTGACTGGTATCCCTCTTGTATGGAGAAGCCTCCAGCCGTACAGTGACTTGTCCGAGGCCATTAGCATACCAGGGCCTCTGTCTCCCAGGCCAGGGCCATCTTTGCTTCCCCTCCTGGGGAGACACTGGGTGCTGCCTCACCTGCTGCTCAGTGTCCGTGACCGCTCCTTTCCCTGTCCCAGCTAATAAGGGCTGTGGTGTGTGGATGATGTCGTCCAGCCTGCCCCACGTCACCAGCAACCACGTCAGCTACAATGGCCTGTACGGAGTGGCAGTGTTTAGCCAGAAGGACGGTTCTGGGGAGTTCCCTGGAGGTCATGGGGCCCAGGAGAACTTCAGCGAGGACGGAGATGCCATCCTTTGGGAGACCGAACTGGAGAAGGACGATGACCCACTGCGCCGGCCCGTCACCATAGCTCTTGTTGAGTCTAACAGTATTAATCACAATGGAGGTGAGTGTCTCCCTGCTCCAGAGCCTTCCGTGCTCACACTGCCTGCCTTGGGAGGCACCCTTCTCGCTTTGTTGGCCACTTCTTTTGGCCACACACCTGATACCCCAGACCTCTGGACATCATCTTCCCTGAACTTAAATCCATTCTGTCCTGCCCCCCCAGCCCTGCCTAGCTCATGCTGTTTCTTTTGCCTGAAATTCCCTTTCCCCCATCCACACATCCCAAACAACTTGAAGTTCAGAGCCCACTGTGAATGTGCCCTCCGTCCTTACCTTCTCACCCCACTGGCACTTACAGGGCCTGGGACAGGATCTGTTTCTCTGGCTGTTTCATCAACTCTGATAGGCTATGAACATGAGGCAAGGAGCCAAACCCCACTCCTTTCAGCGCCCCTGCCCCACCAAATCCCACACCTGGCATACGCATTTCTTTCTTTTTTTTTTTTTTATTCGAAGACTGAGAGGTACAGAGAGAGAGCATGAACAGGGGGAGGTGCAGAGGCAGAGGGAGAAGCAAGCTCTCCGCTGAGCAGGGAGCCGGATGTGGGACTCGATCCCAGGACCCTGGGATCACAACCTGAACCGAAGGCAGAGGCTTAACCATCTGAGCCACCCAGGCGCCCCCTGGCATACACATTTCTAATCCATTCTGAGACACATTGTCCACATTTTAACATCTAAGGACATGCTTTTGCAGTTGATGGCATATCATGGTTTAATTGGCAATTTTTCTTATACAGAGAATAAGTGTGTTTTAAATCCACAAGTTATCTTAAAGTGGATAAAAACTGATAGACATTCCAGTGTTTATTGAATTAAGGGAAAAAAAGAAACGTACAGAGTTGATCTAATTGCAGGGCTCCCAAACCTGGCTGATCATCAGGACCACTGTGGTGGGCTGATGGAGGCAGTCTTGTTAAAAGGGGGCTTCTGGGCACTGGCAAGCTCTAACTGCAGGGCTCCCAAACCTGGCTGATCATCAGGACCACTGTGGTGGGCTGATGGAGGCAGTCTTGTTAAAAGGAGGCTTCTGGGCACTGGCAAGCTCTTGCCCTGGGAGAGGCAGGGAGAGGCAGAGGGCAGGGAGAGTGGGAGCTGACAGAAAATGAGTTCTGTCCCCTCCCAGTTCAGGGCTTTCTCCATGTGGCCCTGCTGTCTGTAGGACAGGCAAAGCCACATAAATTCGCAGATGCTTGGTTTATATTTGCTCTTCCCCAGCAGGCCAGGAGAAGCAGCAGGGAGGTGGCACCAAGAGGTTGGAACTTGCAGACTCATGGCTCCCATGTGACCCCATATTGTCCTCCACACTGCCTCCTCCCAGCGCTGCCGATGCCTCTTGCTCTTGGGATGGGCAGATGTCACCACTGGGGAGTCCTCTCTTCACCCCCAGGCCCCCCTGCCCCCCATCTCTTCCTGACCAAGTCCTGCGGCTCTAAGCCTGCTAAGTTGTACGCTTTTTTCCTAAAGCATGTAGTGTCTCTAAGCATATACAACCCCAAACACCATTTTCTTTCCAAAATTTCTAACACATTTTAGATATTTAGCTTATAAATTTTTCTATTCAAAAATTACAGAATTTCCCTTGTGAAGAAAATATCCCAAAATAATAGAGAGGCAGATTCCAGCTCAGTACGGGAAGAGCAACAAAGCAGCTGTCCAGCTGGTAGCTCTGTGTGGAGGTGGAATGGGCGGCCGTAACAGGTGGTGAGCGCCCCGTCACAGGAGGAAGTGCACACAGCAGTGGGATGGCAACACGGGAGGCATGCAAGCACAGGAGGAGAGCCTGGGTCTCATGAGCCACTGAGCCCAAGGAGTCTTGCATCACCTTTCCCTGTTTACCGAGCACTTAAGTTCAGAAGGAACAGAGTTTCCTTGATGTTCCTGGTTTGTCATCCATCTTGAAAGATGTAACTCCCAGGGGCTGGTTCTGAGTGTGGCTGCCTCTTCCCCCTCTCTCTCCCGGGGTGCACAATTCCATGGAGGTTTTTCCTGACTGGTGTTGTCAGGGCTGACCCTGCTCCCCAACCCCTCCACCCGTAGCCTCAGGCCTCTACGTCCAGAGCAGTGAGGCGCTGCACGTCCTCACCAATGTGATCCACGCTAATGGGGACAGAGGGATCACCGTGGCCCAGAGCAACCAGCTCACCCGCGTGGCCAACAACAGCATCTCCTGCAACCGCCAGAGTGGGGTCAAGGTCGAGGCCCAGTGCAAGGTGGAGCTCCGGGGCAATGGTATCTATGACAACAGAGGCCATGGCATCATCACCAAGGGCGACAGCACCGTCGTCATTGAAAATGACATCATTGGCAACCGGGGCAGCGGGCTGCAGCTCTTGCCCAGGTCCGACACGAAGGTGTGTATGTGTACGTGCGTGTGACACGTGGTGCCAGCACCGGGCTCAGCCCTGGGACGGCCCTCGTACTCTCTCCACTGAGAAGCCTGAAGCACTCAGCACCACAAGGGACAGCATTCCTCCTGCCCAAACCCAGCTGGGGAGACACATGTGGGGCTTCCCATGGGAGGGGGCACATGAACTGAGCCCTGAAGAGGGACAGGAATTACCAGCAGAGAGCCAGGGTGGAGGTGCCACTGGGGGTATCTTTCTGGTTTCCAGGTCAAGCTCAGGGCTCTTTCAGCCCTCCCGCTAACAGAACAGTCTCCCACAGGACTTAGAATGCAGTAGGTGCTTAATGAGGAGGGCCTGTGTGCACACTATTCCCTGTATACCCAGCATACCCTTCTCCCCTTTCTGTGCCTCTTCAGGAAGGCGCCCCCAACCCCCCAGGCTGTCTGAGGTACCCCTGTTCCGGACATCAGGGGTGCTTATGCCCACCCCTACCTCACAGAGCACTTCCCACAGTGCTTTGCATCTGCTCCTCTGCCTCTGTGTCTCCCCCAGAAGTGAGCTCTCAGCTCCCTTTTGCCGCAAAGCACTGCGCTTGGGTGCTAGGGTTTCAGCGTTGAGCACGACCGACCCAGTCCCTGCACTTGTGAAATTACCATCCCAAAGCCTTTCTCTGGTTCTCCGGCTTCATGAGTAGTGTGACTTAGGCAAGCAATAAAGAATTCTTTAGCTCTACATCTGAATACTATGGAAGCAGAGGAAGGGGGGCGGTGGGGGACACGCTGTTGCCTCAGTCGAGTTGCCAATGGTCCTTGCCTCTGGTACAACCTCCCCTTGCTGCCAGGCATTTGCATGTTGTTCCTTCTTCCTGGAACAGCCGTCCCCTGCTCTGCATCTGGTAAGCTCCTACAGCTTACCCATCATCCCCTTCGGGAAGCCTTCCCTGGTTCTCTCCGCCTGATCTCGAACACCCTTCCCTGAGCTCCCATGGTGCAATGCTGCCCTACCGAGCATGCTCTTACCCCTCCGTTTTATAACAGCTGTGTCCCTTACCAGCCCACCCCCCACCAGGCTGGGAGTCCCCGAGGTATGACAAGCTCTGACGGTCTCTCCCAGGTAATAAAGAACCGGATCCATTCATTCCGGGCCTATGGCATTGCAGTGCGGGGCCGCGCCAAGGCCCTGGTGCAGGAGAACATCATCTTCCAGGGCAAGACCAGCAAGACCATTTTTCAGCAGATCTCCAACAACCGAGAATGCATCCTACAAAACAATAAGTTCCTGGTGTTCAAGAAAAAGTAAGTGTCTGTGGTCTGCCTACACCGATCTTCCAGAACCACAGTGAGGTCACCAGAGAAGCCAGGCCCAGTGACTGTGGCTGCCCTTGTTCCCCACGGTCCCACCAGGTCTCGGCCCTGGTCAGGCCATTCAGGCCGGTGTTGAGGCCCTGCACCTGCCTCCCTGGGAGGGAACAGGCTTTAAGAGTCCGGGGTGTGTGATTGCAGATCTCAGCTCTGCCAGTCACTGGCTGTGGAACCTTGGGCAAGTTAGTCACCACCTGGAGCCTTAACAAAACCCAGTTACCGATGTCTGCATTGTAGCACCGATTTGGGATAAAATCAGGTCACGTGACCTAGCAGACTGGTATTCCCAAAATGTTAACTGCTGGTGCTGCGGCTATCGCTTGCTTTTAATACCTCTGCCTCTGTGTACCACAGTGGCTTCACACACTTCTGCCCCAAACCTCCCTGTCCTTCCCTGTCCCCCATTTCAGTGACCTCACCGTCCCTCCACTCTGTTCTGGCAGCAAAACCTCTGTGACCAGCTTCCCCCTAACATCACAGTTCAGTCAGTTACTAGGCCTTCTCGATTCCGACCCCTCCTCTTCCCAGCCACCATCACCCCTGTTCACGTCTCGGCACCCCTCACCCCGACCTGTGGCCCTGCTGCCAGGATGCTGGTGCACTTGTGTATGGATGGACTCTGTTCTGCTTACTTGGTGCTCTGCTCTCTGGTTAGGAAGGTGATGATCATACTATCATTGCTGTTGGCATCACTCACTCCTGCACCGCGAATAGCCCCGTCCTATGGTGGCAGCTTCCTACCTTGTGTCCCTGCCCCACCCCTGCAGGCTGTCCTATGCATCCTGCCAGATTAATCTGTCTGAGTCAGCTCTGGTCCTCTCACGTCCGTGGTCAGAAACCTCTGATGGAGCCCCTGTTTCTCTGTTCCTTTTTTAATTATACACTCTCAGTAAAAATTGTTTTTGAGAAAACCTCATATACGTATATTTTGTATATTCATAACTTATAAAGTTTAAAAAGGTTTTTGAGAAAACCTCATATATGCCTGTTTTGTATATTCATAACTTATAAAGCTTAAAATAGAAATATAGAAATTATAATCTTTTCTACCTACATCCAAGCAATCATATTGTGGACTCCCTGGGGTCTGCTTCCTCCTGCCCCCCTGGAGACCTCAGAATACGGGAAGCGCAGACCCATCAGCCTGGCAATATCCACCGTGCACTGTTGGGTCCTGATTTTCCTTTCCAGGCTCACTCTCTGCTGCCAAATTCAAATGCTGGCAATTCTTTGAACATACCTCCAGGCTTCTCACTCACCTTACAGTAGCCAGCTTCTAACTATCCACACCTTTACAGTCCTACTCGTTGTAACATAATCATCCTAAAAAGGCACAGAAGACATTGTCACTGGCTTAAGCAATTTAGGATTTGGTGTTAAGAGGTGGTTCCTTGTAACTCAGATGACAGAAAGCCCTGAGCGAACCTTTCCCTGACCCTTCATAATCTCCATAAGAACTCGAAGGACTGGAAACTCACCAACTTCTGTCCCCTACAGATTTGCAGTTTTCTGAATGTCATATAAAAAAAGAAATTATACAGTATGTAGTCTTTCCAGGCTGGCTTTTCTCACTTAGCCTAGTATACCTGAGATTTGCCCATGGTGTCACACGTCATTCATTCTTTTTGTTGCGGAGTGGTGTTCCCTTATATGGATGTACCACACTGTTTATCCGTTCATCAGCTGAAGGGGTAAGTAGTTTCTAGTTTGGGGTGATTATGAATAAAGCTTCTATACACATGCATGTCATACACCTGGGGCGGGGGATGAAAGAGAAGAAAAAATCACTGATGTTCTCCGGATCCTTATAGAGATTGGGAAATTGAGGCTTCTAGAGGGAACTGGTCCAAGGTTACATGCAGAATTGCAAGTGTAGCTGGAACTAGAATACAGGACTTTTGTCCCTTATGGGTCCCACCTCCTTGAGCTTTCATGGACTTGGAGGCAAAACCTACACCTGGATCCAGTGATCCTGCACCAAAGGAAATTGTGCAGGGCATTCAGCAAAAGCTCCAGACTCTCAGTTCATGGACTGTCATTTTGCACCTCCAGATCTGATACATGGCGCCTGGTGAACCCACCGGCACGGCCTCACCTTGAAAGCTCTCTCCGAGGCCCCTCTGCAGCCCACAGTGGGCAGAAGGTGACAGCCATGGCGACTAGGATCACAGCCCGTGTGGAAGGTGGTTACCACAGCAACCGCAGCGTCTTCTGCACCATTCTGTAAGGATGGGAGCCGCGGGGTGGGGCGGCTGGAGGGCTGTCCACACTCCGGGAGCAGCAACCCCATACCCTGCATTCAGGCTCTGATGGATGTTCAGTCAAGCGAGGAGGTAAAGGCAATATCAGGATGGAAGCAGCAGCATCTGAGGTCCTCCTACTCACCGTACCCCAGAGAAAACAGGCTTCCAGGCTTCCTGGGGACTGAGAAAAAGAAACAGATTGGTGGGCTTCCTGTTACTCAAGCTCTTACAGAGGTTATGAAGAGTTGGGGAAAATTGATACTAAAGTTTCGGTCAGGTCTTTCTGTGTGAATGACGGGGAAGTGGTGTTCTACACACACCAAACCTGGACTCTAGTCAGAGAAGAGCAGATTGACTTCTGAGGGAGGAGGTGATTCTAGTGAGGTAGAAAGAGACAGCCCCAGAATTTTCCCCTTTCTTGGGCCTCTCTTGATCCCTGCAGGGATGCGGCCACACCCTCCCGGCTGTCTGCAGAGGCTGGAGGAGTTGAGTTTGGTTCCCTTCAACTTGAACGTGGACTGTGAGGGGAACAGGGAGCCTCTCTGGACAGGCTGCGCCAGGGATGACAAGGGACATGCTGAAAACACAGGCCTCCTTTGAGCAGCCTGGTGCCAGGCTGGGCAAGGCAAGGATGCATGAGACTCCAGTCTGCCCTCAGGGAGTTCCCAAACTCAGGAGGATGCTGGCTTGGGGCCTACCGTGCAAGGGTTTGGGTCCTGCGCACACCCCCAGCAGCTGCCCCTCCTGGGCACCAGACTGGTAGAGATGGAGGTGCCCAGGTCCCCTCGTCTGTATCCGTGTTGTCTCATGGATAACTGCCTGCCCTTACTGACCCGACCATGGTTCCCCACTCTGTGCCTTGGCCCACGCTCTGTCCTCCTCTTGGCATGCCCTTCTCGCCATCTGCACATGTCACATCCCACCTAGTCTTCGAGGTTTAGCTGAGACACTGCCTTCTCCACAGAGCTCCCCTCCCTGCAGTGACCATGCTCTTCCCCCTCTGAGGCTCTGCTGCCCTTTCTCTTCCCCCTCTCAGGTACTGAGCACTTTCTGCCTTGCTTTGGAGTTTTCTAGGTCCATCCCTGTCCCACTCACCTGCCTGTGAGCTCCCGGACGGTAGGACCGGGTCTCCCAGTCTGTCCCCAGTTCCTAGTCCAGGGTTGGGATAGGGTCAGTAGCCTGGGTGAGGGGAAGAAGGCCTCCCAAAGGGCTTTACTGTACCGTACTGTGAATGTGTCAAGGTTCCAGAGCCAGGTGGGCATAGATGCCCCCGGCTTGAGGACAGGGGCTGAATGCAGGACTGGCTCAGCTGGAACACTGCCCCTCCCACTCGGCTTTTCATGCGGGGCCTTCACCAGCCTGTTGGGGGCGCTGTTGTGCACCTTCCCAGGCTGGTTCTGCCAGGCCCTCGGTGCTGCTCTCCTGGGCTGGGTGGAGGGGGGTGGCTGGAGGGAGCCAGGAGCACTGGCTTCTCCCCAGGACTGTGGGCACACGAGCACCGGCCCCTCTCGTCCCCAGCACTGACTTTTGCACTTCTCTGGTGGCCCCAATGTGAGTCGCTGTACAAAATGCTGCCTTTGTTATTTTGTAATGACTCTTCTGTGAACCAAATGCTTATGAAAATCTCTGCAACCAAAATAAAGGTCTATATTTTAAAAGAAGCCCTCTTGGAGGACTTTCTTGGTCTGGGTACATGCTAGAGTTTCTGGGCGGCCGGGTGCAGGCGCCTGCTCGGCCTTCCCGAGGCTGGAGGAGACAGAGGCCCAGACTGTCGTGTCCATTCGGCTCGTTCCCACGCTTCTGGGTCCCAGGGTCTGGATGGCCGCGTGCAGCCCCCCCCACCCCCCGTGGGCTCTGTGGGGATGAGCAGTCACAGTACCTGGAGGAGAGAACTTCACAGTGTGCAGAACATTCTGAGATCATGAACTCGTTTTTCCTGTATCTGCATGCCACCTGAGGAGAAAGGTAGTACTTAATACTTTTCTTCAAATCCTCTTTTTAAATTATTTTTTAGAAGGGTGTTAGATTTACAGAACAAGTGAGCAGAGTCCCCGCGTTTCCCGGCTGTACCATCTTACAGTCTGCGTGTGGTGCGTCTGTCAGAATCAACCGATATGAACTCATTATTACCTGAAATTAAGGTAGCTGTTCCCCAATGTCCTTTTCCCATCCAGAATCCTAGCCAAGACATTTAATTTTGCAGAACTAAAAAATGTTTACGTCACTATTAAATACAAAGTGTTTTTTTTTTTTTTAAAGATTTATTTATTTGAGAGAGCAAGAATGAGAGAGAGAGAGAGTACATGAGGGGGGGGAGGGTCAGAGGGAGAAGCAGGCTCCTCGCCGAGCAGGGAGCCCGATGCAGGACTCGATCCCGGCAGGGCGCCTGGGTGGCTCAGTTGGTTAAGCGACTACAAAGTGTTTTCTAATACACATCTAAAACAAACTATTAAAATGAAAATATAATGCCACAAGCAAATAAACCTTTGTGGAAACCAGACATTTGGGGGAAAGATGTTAATGCAGTTTATCCTAACTGGCAAAACCTCGGGTATTTTGATACACTGAAACGGTCTTATGTTCCATCAGCAGTATGCCAAATACTGACTTGGTGAAGTCATTGCCCCGTTTTTTTACAGAAGGAATTGAGGCTCTGAATGGTGATGCTTGTTAAGGCCCAGCAGATGAAAGTTCACTGTCGAATGTTCAGAGCCTGTAGGCAGGAGAGGGTTGGGTAGGGCTGTCAGCTAAAGCTTTGGCAGCAGAAAAAGGAACAGCAGAGAAACACACGGTGCCCATCTCCTGCCAAGTCACTTGGCGGTGGGACACCCATCCTTGCTCTTCGGGGGGTGGGGGGGAGCCTGCCCTGCAGCAGCCTGCATGAGTGGGCAGGGCTAGCCGTCCCACACAGCAGGCCAGACCTGCCTGCCTGCCTGAGAGAACCTGTTCTGATTTTTGTTTTTCCCCCTCAAGTGAGCCAAAATCTATCTCCCTGGCTAACTCCTACCCATACTTCAGGATCTTCATTTTCACTTTGTAGACCATCTTTCCTGGTCCCCTCAAATCTCAGTAGTCCCCCTCCGTGTTACCCCATGATGGCACTGAACCCTCCATATTGCAAAAATGTGTTGATTTGTCTGATCCCCTACCCCATGCCCTGTGAAATCCGGCCCTATTGATCCTCTATGCCCAACCAGACCAAGATCACTAAGTGTTGGATACATAGGTAGATGGATGGATGAATGGAGGGATGGATGAAGAAATAAACCCACCCCCACTCCTAGCATCCCTGCCTTCTGGAGCCCCTGAAGGACACACCTTTCCTGTGTGACAACCCTCCAGAGATTTGCAGACAGCAGCCGTTTGCCTGTGGGGGCTGTCCTGCTCCTGGCCTCCTCTCGTACGTGCCACTTTGCAGACCATCTCGCCCCCCCCCGGTCATTGCTCGAGACCCACTCCGGTGGTTTGTGTCAGCGGGAGCCCGAAGGCAGAGTGGAGGAGTCCTGTCCTGTATCTTAGGAAGGATCTCCCAGCTCCCTGGGTAGCAATTATAGATCTTGGGTCACTTGCTTTCAGACTGCGGTAGCTAAGGGTTCCCCTTCCACTGGGTTGTCACAAGGTGAAGGCTTAACCCTGGTACAGCGTGCAACAGGTCTCAGCGGCCCCCCACCCGAACAACTTAAACTGTGGCCTCCCTGGCCTTTCCTGCTGGCCAGTCAGGCCCCAAACATTGATGCCTACTGACGCAAGTGTAGAAGCACAACAAAGACCAACACAGCTTCATCCGGGTGCCCACATTCTGTTGAGGCCACTGCCCGGGGGTCCTGAGGAGGTCCTGAGTACAGGGAACGGTGGATATGGTGTGGCCAGACACAAGCCAGCATTGTGTCTTAGGAACAGCATATGATCCTACCCCGTCCTCAGCAGCCTGGGGCCCATTCCTTCCAACAACACAAAGAAAGCCTCCTCTCCAAACGGTTCCTCATGGTAGGCTCCCATGGGACCTGATGGGCTTGTTCCAGCCCTAAGCAGTTCCTCCCGACTTGAACATGCTCATCCGATTAGCTCTTTCTCCCTTGTCCAGAATTTTGCATGGTGCAGTTATGGCCATGGGGCTCCAGGACCAATCTACCATGATTAGCATCCTTTTTAAGTGAAGTCGAGCCTAGCGTGGACCTCCTGGTGCAGTCTGAGCAACTCACAACACAGCTGTCAACATCTGCTTGGAACATTGTTCTTGCCTGAGCACTGCTAAAGATCCTGTCTAATCGTCAGGATGGTGTTTCACTTCCTGGTTTTGGCCCATCGTTCACGTCATCTGTTTGGGCTCCTTGGATAAAAGGCTGATTCTAGGGCTAGAGCAGGGAAAGTACAAGATGCCTGGAATATCTTGGGGTAGAAAGGAAGCACCCTTAAAATGATGGGGATATAGGAGCTAGTTTGAAGGAACTAAGATTGGCCAAATGTGGTACAATCTGAACATCAAAATAATAGTACCAATGTTCATAAAATAAAATGAGAATCTACAAGTCTATCCTATCACTAAATGAACGAAAACTATTTTTATGGGAGAGAAAAGAGGGCTTCCTCTGTATAAGAAATAACAGGGTTAGAAAATCATTTTGCAACCATCTTGGTAATTGATTCACCAAGAATCCTCAATTGAGGTTAAAACTCATGGTGACTTCAAGAGGGAGAGAACACAACCTAACCAAGTAGTAAAAGTTAACATCACAAGTATAGGACAAACATCACATGCCTCTACCGTGATGCTCTTAGAACACAGCATCATGTCTGATTTTCCTGAATCTAAACACAAGGAAACCCCAGACAAACCCAACTTGAGGGACAACCCCACACGATAACTGACCTTACTCTTCAAAACAACAAAGTCAAGAAAGCAAAGGCCAAGGAACTGTTTCGAGAGGTTAAACAAGACCAGAGAAGTGTGATGGGCAAGATTTGAAGACGAACTGCGGGCTAGACGCTTGTATGGTATCATTGTTCTGTCTCCCGCTATTGATGAAGGTGCCGTGGTCATGGAAGAGAAAGTCCTTGTTCTTAAGACACACACTGCAGTTCTGACAGGGAAAAGGGTAGGATGCTACTCTCAAATTTTCTCAAATGGCTCAAAAATAAATACATAAATGTATAAAGCAAATAATAAATGGGACAACATATCACCAGTGGGA